ACATGGAAATCACAGCAGAATGCGGGAATTTCAACAAGGCATTCATTCCAGCGGCAAATCCTTGAAATCAGCGGTGTTCTTAGTCTGTGTTTTTGGCGGCCCTCTCTCTCTGATTAACGAAAGAAAATAAAAACGGATGTTCCGATAACAGAGATGCAACGACTTGCTGATTTCTGCTGCCGAGATCTGACTGCAAGGTTGTATAGTTGCGTCTTAGGGTCAGATTTTTAATTTTGTTTGTGTCAGGGACTATCCGCCGGTCCGGTCCTGAGGGAAATTCGTGAGGGACATATCTGCAATTTACATGAAAATTGCAGGCCCAAGTTCCCCTTAACCGTTACTGCCCTTAGCAGGCCCGGGCTATCACTAGGACGGTAGGCCCATCTGGGCCTTGGGCTGTAGAGACGTTCTAGACGCCGTATAGCCGGGTAGGGCCCAGGTCGAGCAGGCCAAACTGATGTGGTACCGGTCCAGTAGGTATAGGTTGAGAGTAGGCTAGTCTATTAATAGGACCGAGTCCGTAGTTGAGGGACTTTTGGCTTTTCATTTTTCGCATCGTAGTGTTGTGAGCCAAGCAAGTTTGGTGGTGGTGATGGTCTACTGGCGGCATCCTGAGACCCTCATCGTGGACGACAGCCATAGCCAGCCTGATTGGCTGGACTGTTCTGAGGCTCTTCACTGAGCGTATGTGGGTGGACCACTGTCGCCCTTCACTCCTTAGAGATTGTCAAGGCTTGTCAATGGTTTGGCATCCATAGCTGCCATCTTCTTGTCAGAGTTACTCATCGGCACTGAAGGCTTCATCGCGATTCATGTTCTTCATCTGGATGGTTGGCACTGGCCTCTGGGAGGCGGATTCAGTGTTGCGCTACTAACTGGGTGCAGGATAGAGAGTAGTGTGTGGTGTTCTGAGAGTGGCGAGATACTGAGATGAACTCTGTAACAATAATTGGGACAATTGGTTTGAGTTGGCTCATCATCAATGTGAATCCTATTGCTATCCTCGCAGGTGTCTTCTTGTGATTGGTTGTTGGGAGTTTGTCAGAGAGTTAGAAAACACTGTGTCTCCTTCCCATCTTTACCTTTCCGTAGAGCAGAATCTAGATACAATATAGAACAACTTGGTGTAATCGTCGAATTTTATGGTGGTGTGCATCTGTGAATTTTGCTGCTTATTTTTATTTGTGTGCAGTTTGGACTCTGTCTCCTCTCCCCTTTGTCTTGTACATGTATGGGCGTGTGTGAGATTCTCAATGTGTGAGTGGCGAGCAACAGGGGCATCTTCTTCTTCTGACGATCTTCTGAAGGGAGTTCCATGGCGGTTCATCTTCTTCAGGGCTGAAGCAGTGGAGAAGAAGATTCAAGACGACGAATTCAAGAGCAGTGTCTGGACTGAACAAGCGCACTGACCCTACCAAAGCGCTTGTAAGAAAGTGGTGGGAACAGGGCTATTTCGCCAAAGTCAACCCTGAGGGCAAATGGGCGATTTGCCTCAGAGTGGCGAATTACCCTTGAGCACTAAGGGTAACTGAGAGGAGGCATCATCCCTTAGTAGCGCTGACCCCATCTGGGGCTAATTACAGCATCAACGACTTATTGGAGCAGTGGCAAGAAATCTTCTGTTGACAAGCAGACCGCCACTAGACTAGATTCAGTGAATCTAGTGAGTGGGATTGAAGCGCCTCAGCACCCTGAGCAAGATCAACAAGTTTGGAGGGATTCTGTACGTGGAGATCAGAGGAGGGGCTCTTGAAGAAAGTGGCGAACTGAGTGTTTCAGGCTGCCATAGCCAGATCTTCACCATCCTCTGCAGTGTTCTCTGAAAGTGAGTGCGTTCCACACAAATTTCTGTCTAGCGAATTATTAGTGTCAGTATAGTCAAAATTGATGGTCTATCTGTCTGTTAGAGTCCAAATCTAGGTTTGTCAGACTGCATGACAGCCATAGCCATCTTCTTCCTATCTCCCTCCACTCATATCTTCCCCTCTGCTGACTCTTTCTGCCTCAAATCTGTTCTGGGACTGCCTGACAGAATTGCGTTGGATCCTATATGCTCTGAATTTGAATTCGGTACAGGAAAGGTGTTGATACTGTGAATTGGAATTCTGCGCTGCATCTATTAGTAGCTTGGGCTATCTAGGGTCAGTCGTAATTTCAATTCTGTCTGTCAGAATTCAATTCTGTCAGTTTGTAGTGAATCGCAATCCTGTTGTGATCATCTGTACAAAAGTGTTTGATCAGATAAACAGTATTTGAGTAGATACAGTAAATACTGTAAATCGCCATACCCTTGGGTGTGGCTGTCAGAGTCAACAGTGGCGAAATTAAAGTCTAGGGTAAGATACAGGGCTATTGACTAAATCGCTATATCCCGTTGGTCTGTGATTGTCTGCACTGACCACTTTCTTTCTTTCCCACTGAATTCTCTTGTTTTCTAGTGGGCTCTGGGATTCTAAATATCTCTGGAATTACTGAAATTGGTTGTACTAACTTCAATTGAGGTGCAGGGTCAGTAAAAGGAAACGTGAGATTGATTTTACTGGACTGAGTGTCTGTCTGACCACTGACCTCCAGAGACCCTCCCCCATCCGTACTGGTGACTATGTCTGGGTGGCCAGTTTTGAGTTGTTGAGGGAGGAGGATATCTCCCCCAAGCTGTTGCTTCGTTATTTGGGTCCATGGCAGGTCTTAGATACAATGGGTTCTGATCCATTTGGCCCGTCATACGTCATCGACGTCCCATTGCATCTGCAGACCTATCCGGTCTTTCATGCATCCAAGCTGCTCCCCTTTACCTCAACTGATGCGTTCCCAGACTGGCCTCCTCAGTTTGGTCCACCGATCCCTGGCAAGGGATATGACGTTGAGTCCATTGAGGACGAGTGGGGCACTAGCCCCGACCGGCAGTATCTTGTGAAGTTCTGTTTCCAGCCTCATACTGAGGACAGGTGGTTCACCAGGAAAGAACTTCTCAAGACAACAAACTCTGAGGTACTTCGTTACGAGGCGGCTCAGAAAGGGAACTTTCCCCGCCGATCTCGTCGTCTGCACCCTTAGCTCGGAGGTCCTCGCTCCCCGGGAGGGTAAGCCTGCAATGACTTGCTGATTTCTGCCGCCGAGATCTGACTGTGAGGTTGTATAGTTGCGTCTTAGAGTCAGATTTGTAATTTTGTGTGTGTCAGGGACTAACCGCCGGTCCGATCGTGAGGGAAATTTGTGAGGGACATATCTGCAATTTACACGAAAATTGCAGGCCCGAGTTCCCATTAGCCGTTACTGCCCTTAGCAGACCCGGGCTATCACTAGGACGGCAGGCCCATCTGGGCCTTCGGCTGTAGAGACGGTCTAGACGCCGTATAGCCGGGTAGGGCCCGGGCCGAGCAGGCCAAACTGATGCGGTACCTGTCCAGTAGGTCTAGGTTTAGAGTAGGCTAGTCTATTAATAGGACTGAGTCTGTAGTTGAGGGACTTTTGGCTTTTCATTTTCAGCATCGCAGCGTTGTGAGCCAAGCAAGTTTGGTGGTGGTGATGGTCTACATGCGGCATCCTGAGACCCTCATTGTGGACGGCAGCCATAGCCAGCCTGCCGGTGTTTGCCATAGCTGGGGCACCCTCTGAGCATCTACCCCTGGGGGTATCTGCGATCGGCTGGACTGTTATGAGGCTCTTCACTGAGCGTATGTGGGTGGACCACTGTCGCCCTTCGCTCCTTGGAGATTGTCAGGGCTTGTCAGTGCTGTGGCAGCCATAGCTGCCATCTTCTTGTCAGAGTTACTCATCGACACTGAAGGCTTCATCGCGATTCATGTTCTTCATCTGGATGGTTGGCGCTGGCCTCTGGGAGGCGGATTCAGTGTTGTGCTACTAACTGGGTGCAGGATAGAGAGTAGTGCGTGGTGTTCTGAGAGTGGCGAGATACTGAGATGAACTCTGTAATATAATTGGGACAATTGGTTTGAGTTGGCTCATCATCAGTGTGAATCCTATTGTTATCCTTGCAGGTGTCTTCTTGTGATTGGTTGTTGGGAGTTTGTCAGAGAGTGAGAAAACAATGCGTCTCCTCCCCATCTGTGCATCTGTGAATTCCGCTGCTTATTTTTATTTGTGTGCAGTTTGGACTCTGTCTCCTCTCCCCTGTGTCTTGTACATATATGGGCGTGCGTGAGATTCTCTGTGTGAGTGGCGAGAAAGTTGTCAGACAGCCAAGTGCATAACAGAGATAAGTCATAAACAAGCAAATAAACAGGTTTCACCATCCAGGCCACAAAAATAATTCAGAACTGAATCAGTTTTGGGATCTCAGGCTTCAGCTTAGAATGGAAATGAAAACGTAAACACACAGTAGGAGGATTTACGAAGCCGAGTAGATAGGAAATGTTGCGACTCCCTCGGCATACATTCTGGGCCACAGCAGCAGACAGTCTCGTGGTGTAAGAATGGGCCAAGAGGGCGCAACAACGTCTATGGGCCCAACGTTTCAAAGGTTAAACAACTCCATGATGGAAAGATGCAGGCAACCAGTCTCGGTGCCGTCAGGCACAGGTCATTACAACCTCTGACAATAGGGGCTGCCCCTACGCTGGGAACATTTCTTTTTTAGCAGACACCGCTAGCGCCTGGGGAGAGGCTCCATCTATTGGTGGGGAGCATACGACCAGAGTTACAAAAGGACGAAAAGGGTTCGTAGATCCCGGGGGTATCCAACCCACCCCAAACCTTTTGAGGAAATACGATAAAGTGAGGGGGGGACAGATAGTAATGTTAGGCATTCCAGTACCAGCCTGTGGTCAGGCTTCATAGACACTCCCCTTACTTGGTCCAAAATACTCTGATGCTAATTCTTTATTGAGCAATTGTAACAGGGGATGCTGAGTCCTCTTCCCAGCAGGTGTTGCTCCCCACCAATAGATGGGACCACTCCCTGATGGCTTGAGGCGACTGCTCCGACCAGCATGTCAAACTGTTTAAAAAACCAACAGATGTTTCGGAGTTGCCAGCCGAAAACCAGGCGCACCCCTTCCAATGGCTAACCAACGCCCATTGGTCCATACCTACTCTGGCACAACAGCAACAACCGCCAAAAAAACAGGCACAGGCCACGGAACAGGATATATCAAGGGATCCCCTGTGGCCGTACATGCTCAAACTCTGGAGAAGCGTGGGGCCAAAACAGAAAGGCCCCCCCAGTAGGCGGCACGGCATATGGCGGAAACCTCTCTTTGGCAACCCCCACATAGTCGATGATACCGCGAGCACCTTCACACTCACCGCGAACTCTCCATGGCTCAACTGGGTCAAACTACGCATATACACCATAGGCAGCCTGTGGGATGTGGATCACACCCGACCAACTACAACAAGAACTGAAATACGCTAAACATGTGGCCGCCAAACTGGGCACACTGCAGGAGGCCATGCCGCTAGCCTGGCAACTCGCCTTGAAAAGAGGGCACTCCGTGCAGCAAGGGGACTGGGTGGTCAGACACACAGACCTGCACTGCACTCTGGAGACCCATGAGCCAGGGCTGCCAGGAGCATGAAATCACAGATCGCAAGGAATGAAGAACTCGATGCGAAGAAAACTGGGAGACCCTCATGCACATAAGAATGATGGGCGACTACAAAGAGAGGCTTCTCGTCTACGAGTCCTCAACCCTGATTGCAAGCCTGCCCTTTGATCCTGGTCAGTGGGAATGGGTGAATGGGAAACCAATGCACATTTGGGATTACACGGTCAAAGGGGGTTACAGACAGATGACACCACAAGCGCCAATTGAGCCTGCCATCACTGCCAGTTGGGCTTGAGACTCGCCCATTGACCCAGCCAAGGTACGGAACCTCCGCTGTCACACAGACGCTAAGATCATGCCCGCCAATTTTAGATCGTTGCAGTGGCAGATCCTGCACCGATGCCTCCCCATGCTGGACTGGCTTGTGCCCAGAACTAACTTGGAACAGAAAAGGCTGTTATCTTCCATCTGTTCCTATTGTGGCAGAGCTTCACCCCCAGCCCGGGCGGCACTCGAACACTGCCTTCTGGCATGCCCAATGGTTGCCCAGATTTGGCGACGGTGGGACACAGTCTTCCACTCCCTCACCTCCTACCACATCTTTGGGACATGGGCCTGCTATTACTGAGCAGGAATGATCACATCCTAACCTAATGCCCTGCGTTTGCAGTCAGCCTGTTCTCGTACACAAGGCTCCATGTACGAATGCTGGCCTGGAGTGCAAGGTGCTCCTTTGAAAGGAAGGACCACCAATTCGGACTGCAACAGGTCCAGCAAGCAATGGAGGAGGTCATTAGAGCCCGAACACACGAAGCCTGGAAGGCCATGAGACGAGAATACAGAAGCGAGAAGGCACCACAGGCCAGACTGACCATCAGGGACATTTACTTACAGACATGGCAGGACCCTCTGAAGCTGTTCAGTGAAGTTGACGCCGAACTGAATATCCTCTGGAAGCCCTGAAAGAGCACCAAGCACACATGGAGTAGGAAACCCCTACGGGAATTCCAAATCCTGTACCTGCAAAATAACTTCGTCCTTGTTCCAAACCCGCCACCGCCACCCCCTGACGCCGAACTGAATATCCTCTGGAAGCCCTGAAAGAGCACCGAGCACACATGGAGTAGGAAACCCCTACGGGAATTCCCAATCCCGTACCTGCAAACTAACTTCGTCCTCGTTCCAAACTCGCCACCGCCACCCCTGCGCCCGCCCCCCCTATCTCCCTGCCTGCACCTGCCCTCCCTCCTCAGTCCACCCCCCCCGTCCCTCCCCCCTTACCCCGAGCAGGTGCGACAGGATGAAGTCTGCAGAGGGGTATGGAAGCCACACAGGCCTTCACTTGCCAGAGGCCGGCCAGTAGAAGGACCCTAACATTCGCTGGACAACGGACAACACCCACAGACCACAACCACAGCGACAACAGCAAGATCCAAGGAGGACATACATTCTGGGCCACAGCAGCAGACGGTCTCGTGGTGTAAGGATGGGCCAAGAGGAAGCAACAACGTCTATGGGCCCGATGGTCAGGGGTTTAGGGGTTAAACAACTCCATGATGGAAGTACGCAGGCAACTAGTCTCAGTGCCGTCAGGCACAAGTCATTACAACCTCTGACAATAGGGGCTCCCCCTACACTGGGAACGTACGACCAGAGTTACAGAAGTACGAAAAGCATTCGGAGATCCGGGGGGGTATCCGACCCACCCTAAACCTTCTGAGAAAATACAATAAAGTGAGGTGGGGACAGATAGTATTGTTAGGCATTCCGGTACCGGTGTGTGGTCGGGCTTCACAGACACTCCCCTTACTTGGTCCAAAATACTCTGATGCTAATTCTGTATTGAGCGATTGTAACAGTGGACGCTGGGCCCGCTGCCCAGCAGGTGCTGCTCCCCACCATTAGATGGACCCTCCCCTGGACAGCTTAAGGCGACTGCTCTGCTCTTATAGGTGGGTTTGGAAACTGGTTTGTTCCTATTTTAATTGGAGCGCCTGATATGGCCTTTCCACGATTAAACAATATTGGGAACGCCTTCAACTTTTTTGTCCGTGTGCCGGCACGAAGTGTGGCGTCAGAGTTTCCATGGTACACGAAAATGGAAGGGAAACAGTCAGTAGTCTTGCCCCACCAGCATCTCAAGCTGTCCCACAGGGCTGTTTCTTCGGAAAAAACAAAACAAAACAAAACAAAAAGAACAAAGGAAAAGAAAAACAGATGTTTCAATCACGTAAACAAACAAACAGGTTTCATCATCCAGGCCACAAAAATCATTCAGAAGAAGAAGAAAAATGCCTGTCTTCATATCAACCAGGGAAGTCCCATAGCTGATTGCAATGCAACACATGTAATTGATTATGCAGCAAAGCTGCAGGGTAATTGATTGAGCAGCTAAGCTCCTGTTCAACTCAACCGCATGTGAAACCACCATATCTAGCTGTCCACACTCGTCATACCAGGCTTGTGCTCACTTGAACCAAAACCCAGTTCATAAATGAACCAGGTTCGTTATTTGAGTCCAAAGACTCCAAACCCATTTTATGGACCCAACCCGGTTTATGCAAGCCCATGTCGTAGTCGAACCCCTGGTTTTGTGCAGTACCAGGTTTGCAAAAAAAACGGCCCACTCCTTGGCTATCTCTGCAACTTAGTCAAAGGCGGATTCTGGACATGGAAACCTGGTTCATCAGTGAGGCAGGTTTTTCATGTTCATTCGCGGGTTGCTGGTTTTCTGCAGGTTCAGATGCACGCAGATAGACCACACATTTGTGGCTATCACTGTAACTCAGCCTGAGGCCAAGGACAGGGTCTGACTTCCATGGCGCACCTCTGCAGACCCCACAGTAATGTTCTGCATGCCATCTACACTGCCATTCAACAAGCTGGCAGCCGGAAAAATATGCACGAGGATGCACTGTCTTTGACGGTGCAGCACTCAGTTGCATTCGTCAAGACTCAAAAGATTAAAAGTCCTTTTAAGCCAAAACAAAAAGGAAGTCCTTTAAGCCAAACTCCAACAGGAGCTTCAGTCAACCAAAAGAAGTGAATTAGCTGTGCAATTTGTCTGTCATGCTGAGCTGCACTCAAAAGATTGTAGTCCGTTAAGCCAACTCTCCAACCGGAGCTTCACTCAACCACAAGAAGTGAATGTAACTGTACAAGTTGTCTGTCACGCTGACCTGCATGCCACAAAAAGACAGACAGACAGAGAAAACAGAAGAACTTCAATGATCCAGATCACCAGATTGAAGTTAAGAATTTGACACTTTAGGAACATAGTTCAACATACACACCCGAAAGCAGCTCCCCAGAACCCGGCAAATTAGCATGACATAATTCCAGACGCACCATTTATGATACATCCACACCATCAAGATCATCAAGGCTATGTGATGCATGCCTATCCTCAGATATGCAGCACCCGGACTCCAAAGGATCACCGATGTGAATAAAAAAACTCACAGACTAGCAATGCAATCAACAAGGAACCAATGTGGATCAAAATCAACACAATGTAATGCAATATAGCACAGCGGAAGACTCAGATCATGATCTCACTCAGCAAACTCAGAACCTGACACACAAACATCATCACATACGTGAAAGGGCATGGAGGAAAGGTTCCTCCTTGCTCACACACACATGGGGAGAAGAATCAAACAGAAAACCCCAAGAAGCATCAAACATTTCTGACAAAATCCATGCTGCGAATTTGATATAACAAGCACTGGCTCCCAGTGCAACCTCATAAAAAGCTATGAAACACAGACCTGAAGAAATTGAAACACAAGTGGTTGTTACCAAGGCAGCCCCTCGTGAACCAAGAAAGCGACCAAACACGCCTGCTACTAAACTACCGAGTAGAGGTAAGACTACAATGCGGATGATGGAGGTGAGATGAGACGAAGAAGAAGGGAGAAGACAAGAAGAATAGCTCAAGGTAGCTGCCAATAGTCTGTGGCATACTGTGCAGCCACACGGGCCCTGCAGGGCCCGTCCCGGACCTCCAGCCTGTTTCCCTACAGGGAAACTTCCAGGCTCTTGCCTGGAAGCTTCCTTCTGACAGGGCCTACAGGCCCCAGCCTGTTTCCCTACAGGGAAACTTCCAG